TCATGCTACAATCTGATTGAAATACCGCCTATTGGAACTCTAGTTATGTTCGCATTTACAAATCATGCCTGTTTGAACAAATGCAAAACGTAAGCCCGATGCGGGGCTCGAACCCGCGACAGCCAGATTAAGAGTCTGGTGCTCTACCGACTGAGCTAACCGGGCTGATGCAGTTGGCCCAATGCGCCTCCTATCAATTGTTCTTTCTGCATGATCACTACGTTAATGACCTTACCATTAGAATCTTGTCGACCTCGTGCAGGGTGCTGGAGGGTTTTCCTAATTGTAACGAATAAGACTGGACCACGATGGCCTATTTGCTGAAGGATTTCTACATTTCTCCCATTCGCTGAGATACTTTTGCAAGACTTTAGCGTGATCAGTTTATGACAACAAAACGATGCCATTTGTCTTTTAAATGCCTCTGCGATTCCAAACAGATGTTGAATACCTGGCGCCTTCCACAGGGATGAAACAACCGCTGGCACTATTTACCCTTTACTGCCCCAGTCATCCGAAATCAGGCCAGTTCCTGACCGACTTTTTTCTCCGTGGGCAGATTTTGCTCAAATGTTGTCTCCTGGGGTAGTTTGACCTCCAGAATACGAATATCACATTCGCTCAGCCCGAAACTTCCTGGCGCCCGCGCCACAGGCGCCAATGATTTGGGGTATTTTGGCGCCGGTGCCCGTGGTGCGGGCGCCAGGAGGTTTCGGGTTGAGCGGATGTGATATTCGTGTTCAGGGGGTCAAACTACCCCTGGGAGCAAGTTTTCAGCGAATTTGGTGATTTCGAGTATTTTGGCGCCGGCGCCCGTGGCGCGGGCGCCAGGAGGTTTCGGGTCAAGCGGATGCGATATTCGTGTTCAGCGGGTCGAACTACCCCCTGGAGCAAATTTCAACAAATTCCTCCCGCGGAGAAAAAAGTCCGTCAGGAACTGGCGCCTGATTTCAGATGGACTGTGGGCAGTAAAGGGTAGAATGGTGCCCTGACCGGTGCTTATCCACTCATTGACCCTTTAGATTCCAAACGTGCTGTCGGTGAGTCTCTGTCGATTTCTAACTCCATATTGTAGAAGTATTACCTTCGTCGGAAGTGTTTTGTTTGACTAGGGTGGCAGTAAGCAGGTCCTGCAGTAAACAAGCTAATATTAAGGCTCGCTGATCTGAGCAGTCATGCGATCGGTCGCTCGTCCAGCGTGTAGGAGCGAGTAGTGCATTTTCATCTCACAGGACATGAGGGATATGGACAAGTACTGTTCTTACACACTTTTTTATTTCTTTTTCAATGAGTACTATGTTGAACTCCAAGATAAACTGAGTACTAAAGATATGGTAATTTTCCACTGGCCAAGTTTCGATTACTCGTAGATCTCCCTTTTTGTGATGTAACCAGTTTCTGAGCTCAGCTGACCCCTTCGGAATCCGACAATTCGGTTTCATGAAGTTACATGATAGAATGCTGCTCGTGGTATGTAAACATATTTTCCTTCCCTTGCTTCCTTCGCGTCTCCTGATGTTGTAATCACAGCGAAAGAAAGTTGATTAAAACGCATAATGGATTCGGTTGAAAACCGGAGGTCGGGTTCTCTTGGATCTTACAGCTTCAATGGCTTGTTTTGTGTTGATAGAATTGGTCATTCAGGTCTTTTCTATAATGCAAAATCGTTATTAAAGCGTAACAATGTTTAGGAGTATCGAGGAGGGAAGCGTAGCAAGTCTCCCGGTCGCGTCATTCAGGCAAATTGCGTTTTGGCTGCTCGCCGAGATCATTAGGGTTACCCTCCATATCCCTGAGTCGCGGTGGGCGTGGCCGCGTACCTGCCTGCAAGTCTCCCGATAGGTCGTAGCAGGCCTGCAACCCGCGCACGTCACACGCCCTATCGGTTCCACGGATTATGACTGTAGCTAGCGTTTTCTTGTTCAATGAGGTGGACCTAATCACGGGTTTTGCCGAATGCTTACGATTTAATTTTTTCAGGACTCACAGAAGCGATGCCGCCTCAGATGAGGAGAATCCGAGCGTTGTCATACACGAGCCATGGGAAGACAGTTCCTAGCCCCGAATGGAGAAAGATTTCCACTTGTGGAGAAATACCCGTGAAGCTGATGCTGAGTCCCATGGCACTCAGCTAGCCAGCCAGGGTTGTGTTCTCCGCAGAGATCCTTCTCTTCATCGGAGCACTGTGACTGCCGACCGATAGCTACATATGCTCTTTTCGTCATCACCGCTGCTGCTACTGCTGCTCAATGAAACGTGTGTGATATACGTGGACTTGTAATAAAGATTTATTTGCACTTTTGAATTTCAAAAAAAGGAAATAGTGACGTGTTATCAATGGAAAACAACTGGTGATCCAACTGATGGAGCGTGGCACTGGTTGCTAGGTGAGACTGAAACGAAATGTTGATTACGGTACATCCAGCCTCGCTACCGTATACCTGACCTTAGCTAATGGGCGTAAATGACTCACAAACGATAATCCAATGGATATTTACACGTGTTCTTAATCGGACTCTCCGGCCATCAACTCCCAGAACTCTGAAATTGGGGTCATTTTGTTTTACCACTTCTTGGGCACACAAAACGCCTCTCAGAACTACTCTTCGGCTCATCTACAGAAGTTGCTAGTTAGCTACCTTCGAATTCGATCTTTCCTGAACCGTCCTCATCGATCTCGTCTACGGCTTCTTCCAGTTGTTGATCGGTCAAATCGTCGGCGATCTCGTGCAATAGAGCCTTCAATGTCGGCCGAGAAATGTAACCATTTCCCTAGAACAACAAGATTTTTGACGCTCTTATGTTACGTTACATAGCGTCCATGGCATCCACTCAATAACTGACTGGCTATCAGGATACGACTGTTTTCTTGGATCTTTTTCTAACGTGGGGGCCGGCAACAGCTGCTGCCAGCTGTTACTTGTCGAGTTGATATAGCTGTGATTTCATTTTCCACGCATTTCTTACGTCACACAGCTGCGAAAAACTCTTCAAAAGCCTGAGATCTTAATCCTACCGTAGGTGCTTAGCAGCCATATGCACCGACCTTTATGAGGCCCCATAATGGCTCTCCCCTTCTCCCATACTACCGAAAAATCGTTGACATACCCTCAGTCGACTTCGAGGCAGAGATCGCAAATATGTAGCGGCCTTATTGTTCTCAATGATGGAGGATAAAAACT